TACCCCTATTCCAACCTGCACTCATTATTCCTCTTCTTTTTTTGGCTTAAGAAATTCGGTAGGTATTGATGTCATTTACTGAGATAAGGAAGACTGCAGAAGAAAGAGTTCATTTTGTATTTGATTTTGAATTCTGATTTAACCTTCTTCAACATTTGTGGGATTGTCAGGTAGGCAAATGAATGCACTAGTTTGGAGCTCAGTAAGGATGGTCGGGCTTGGAAATACACAAAATCTAACATGAATTTTACACTGTCCAGAGATAAAAATAGTTCTTGCCTTTAACACACTACACAACTGTTACTGTTCATTGCTTCTGCTCTTTACTTATATTCAGCCATGAAATTCCTTTCACACCTTCTCTCATTTGGTGCCGCAATTCTATTGTCTTGTTACTTAATTCAGCCAGATCATGTCATCTATGGGTTAGATGGGAGGGCTATATAGCAGTGGTTAATAGGAATTTGGTCATTTGGAAAACATGTTGGAAGGATCTGCAGAAGTTAAAAGTGCTCCAAGGTTATCCCTCCTGTCTCAGATATTCAACAATGCTGAATGTCTTAATGAAAAATATCAACTCTGAACTCCCTGTCAGCTAAAAATAACAGTAATTCATAGTCTCCTTTACCAATACTTTTCAAGGTTAACTCCATGAAAAAAAGATAGAGCAAAGGCTTGCTTGAGCCAAATTTCAGGGGCATTTAGGGCAGGGAAGGGGAAGGCAAAGTGATGAAAGAAGCAAAAAGTAGAGAGGTTATTTATATCTCTATCACGGCATTCTTTTCAAAATATGTAAAAGAGTTTAAAACGCTTTCTGAAGGAACTTCCATTGTGCCTGCAGTATTTTGGATGGCAGTATTCAACAAAAAGTTGCCGGAAAACCTGCTCATTTGAAATCTTGCTTTAGGTTTATCCAAGTGAATGCTGAAAGCATGGAGTTTCTAATCTGAAGACTTCAAGGCCTGGCTGAGTGACTTACTGGCTGAGTGACCTTGGGCCAACGATTTTTCCTCTCAAGCCCTGCTTGGCCTCCCTCACAGAGAGGGTTTAAGGGTCCACTGAGATATCGTATATGCAAATAACCCACAATCAGGACCTACACAAATATGTAATCATCATTTAAGACAATGATTCTTAGGCTGGGATTTGTGTGAAAATCACCTGAGAAACTGTCTCTCAACATCCTGGTTTTCTTATCCATAAAGTGGGATAATCATACCTAGTTTTACTGTTTACTGGTTTAAGAAGAATTTAAAAAAAAAAGAAGAAAAAAAGAGATAATATATATGAAAGTACTTAGCCTCATTCCTAGCACTTAGCAGGTGCTCAACAACATTTAGGAATTGATTTGTCTAGTTTTTTTTTTTTTAAGATTTTATTTATTTGACAGAGAGAGACACAGCGAGAGAGGGAACACAAGCAGAGGGAGTGGGAGAGGGAGAAGCAAGCTTCCCGCCGAGCGGGGAGCCCAATGCCGGGCTCGATCCCAGGACCCTGGGATCATGACCTGAGCCGAAGGCAGACGCTTAATGACTGCGCCACCCAGGCGCCCGATTTGTCTAGTTTTAAGAAGCGCCTAACAGCGTATGGCCAAATGTTTACCATAAGATGCCCTTTTCCCTGAACACTTTCCTGAAAGTGTAAATGGCCCATTCTTCTGTCAGCCAAAGGCAAGTGAGCACTGGATGTAAGTCCAATTAACACCCCGCTTCCATTTCCACATGGTCATATACCGTGTGATACACAGTGAGGTCCCTTCTGTTTCCTCACCTTCACCCTGATCTTCACTTCTTTCAAAGGAGACTAAGAGTTTTGAATGGGGGTAGTTTAAACCCTTTTCATGGTTATTGTGTGTCTTTTCAAAAACTAATATGGTCTTTCCAAGATATTTTTAAGGATGTCAACTGTTAATCACCTTGTTACTAAGACGGATCCTCAGTTCTATCATTGGTGGAACAAAGACTGATATGACATCAGAAGTGATTTTGAGAGAGAAAGTAAACGGTGAAGTCTCCAGGTCTGTGGATATGGCCAGATGTTTTCAGGCAGTGAGTGAGAAACTGTGGGAACATTTAGCGAAGGGGTACAGTAGTTAGGCCGGATGATTACAAACACGGGCATGGGCTTTATCATCACACTGCCTGGTCTGAGTCCTGGCTCTATGACTTTCTGAATGTGTGACTGTGAGCAAGTAAAAATCTTCCTAAGCTGGTTTATCTATAAATTGAAAATTAAAATGAAATATACCTCACTCCTACTCTTTTCTTTTCTTTTTTTTTTTTTAAAGATTTTATTTATTTATTTGACAGAGAGAGAGACAGCGAGAGAGGGAACACAAGCAGTGGGAGTGGGAGAGGGAGAAGCAGGCTTCCTGCTCTGCAGGGAGCCCGATGCGGGGCTCGATCCCAGGATCCTGGGATCATGACCTGAGCCGAAGGCAGAAGCTTAACGACTGAGCCACCCAGGCGCCCCCATACCCTTTTCTATGCTCCCGCCAACATGAAGCAGTAAACCAAAAAAGAGGAAGACACAGGAGACAATGTCAACCAAAGGAGCCAAGTGAAGGAGATTGCTAAGAAGATGCTGCAGCTGGACAGGAGAACCCGAGCGCAACATGGTTGAGGCGGAAAGCAGGCAGCAGGTTTCCAAGAAAAGGATGGAAAAGAAAGGAAAATTTTATCGGATCTGCTTGACCATTTTGAGAAGAGTTTTAGAGTTATGTCTGAAAGTCTGTAGCTGTGCTAGTGACTGGATGTCTTTAACACATAATCAAGAAATCTGCCTAGAATCCAGAACACATCAAGTATCTGCACGAAGATAAACAACAGAAAAACTGGCAAGGGACTTGAATAGAAACTCACAAAAGAGGAAATCCAAACTGAGGGGTGGGGGGATGTCCATCTTCAATGGTAATCAAGAAATTACAAATTAAATCTATAATGAGGTGCCATCACAAAACTGACAAAACTAAGTGTTCATGGGAAGTAACAGAACCTCTCACACACCACCGGTCAGAGAGTCAAAAGGTAGCACCCCATGGAATACAGTTTGGCATAATACACATTGCCCAGCAATTCCATTTCTGGGTGTCCATCCCAGAAAAAGGTATGTACATATGCTTACTTATGACCGAACTCACATATTTATACTTGTGTGAGAATATAATCACTGAACGTCTTCTTGAATGTAAGTAACACAAGGGCAGGGATGTTGGCTCTTCCATTTACTCTTGTGCCTGGTACTGTGAATCAGATTAGTTACTCAAGAAATGATTGTGGGATCATTAAAACACGAATTCAGAAAGACATATGCACCCCTATGTTTACTGCAGAATCATTTACAATAGCCAAATTATGGACGCAATCTAAGTGCCCACTGCTAGATGAATGGGTAAAGAAGATGTGGTACGTATACACAATGGAATATTATTCAGCCGTAAAAAGAATGAAATCTCGCAACAACATGGATGGATCTAGAGGGTATAATGCTAATGAAATAAGTCAGAGAAAGACAAAAACCATATGATTTCACTCATACGTGGAATTTAAGAAACAAAACAAATGAACAAAGAAAAAAGAGGCAAACCAAAACAAAAAACAGACTCTTAACTATAGAGAACAGATGGTCACCAGAGGAGAGATGGGTGGGAGGATGGGTGAAATAGGTGAAGGAGATTAAGAGTACACTTATCCTGATGAGCACTGAGTAATGTATAGAATTATTGAATCACTATATTGTATACCTCAAACTAATATAACATGATACATCAGTTATACTAGAATTAAAATTTTTAAAAAAAGGAAAAAAGAAATATCCTACTTAAAGTTTCCTCAGAACTGTTTTCATACAATATCTTTAGCATTTAATAAGACGATCCTATTATATATGGATGATTTTTTTCCTACTCATTTGCTCTACTACAATAAATAAATTACCAATAGGAAATGTGAGTTGCTTTCCAGGGTTGAATGCTACCTGTTCATGGTATTTGGTTTGCTTGATTCAGCAACAGAAAATTTAGCAAAAACATTTTTAGAAAGGACAGAAAGTAAAAGTTTACAGACCTGTGAAAAATGTTCTGCCATACTAGAACAGAAATGAACATAAAAATGATAATGAAATGCCAGTTTTGGTATAAAAACACAAATATTAAAATAAGTATAATACTCAAAGCTGCAAGACTGTATGTAGTGAGACAGACCCTCTCATAGATCAGGTGTGTAAATATAAGATGATATACAGGTGCATAAACTGCCCAATGTTTCTGGAAAGCAATTAGGCAGCATCTGTTGAGTCTCAAAAATACAGATATCCTCTGACAGTAAAAACTAGTATAATTCCAGTTCTAAGACTATGCGAAAAATATAACTGAAAAAAGTTGAGATAAGATTTATTTACAAACTCTTCATGAATTATGAAGTAACGTAAGAGATGTAAAACACCCAAAATGAGCAATAATGGGATAATGGTTAAATATTCTTTTGGGACATCCATAATACAAGTTAAAATGTGAGATTTTCAAAGAACTGATGATACCACAGAAAAATGCTGATGATCTAAATGCTAAGTAAAAATGGCAGAATACAGAACTGTATGAGGTATGATCTCAATTCTATCAAATATATGTGTGTGTGTATAATACACACAGAATACAATAATTCTTATGGCAGAATAGACTACAAATATACTTTATGTTAAAAGAAGGGATTTTGGGGCACCTGGGAGGCTCAGTCGGTGAAGCATCTGCCTTTGGCTCAGGTCATGATCCCGGGGTCCTGGGATCGAGCCCCGCATCGGGCTCCCTGCTCAGCGGGGAGCCTGCTTCTCCCTCTCCCTCTGCCCCTCCCCCCTGCTTGTGCTTTCTCTCTCTGTCAAATAAATAAAACCTTTAAAAAAAAAAAAAAGAAGGGATTTTAACTTTTGTAGTTTTTGTCAAGGTTTGTTCAACATTTGCTGCTTTGATACTTAAAAAGAACCAGAATATCTCCATTTACACTTACCAGATCAATATTTTGCATTATATCCTGAAATGAAGGATGAGTTCGAAACTGTTCAAAGAGATCTCGTTTGTAAAGCAGTGCGTACACCAAGTTTGGATTGTGGTGAAGAGAATTTGTCAGGCAGGAATTGATGATCTCTAACATCATTCGAATCACTTCTTCGATGACATTCAGGTCTTGTGCCTAATAAAGAAAGAAAAGCCACACACACAGTGTTTTTCTCCTTAACACGGAGTTAATCAGAACAAGAGTAACTGCTTTAAAGTTATAACATTAGGGATGCCTGGGTGGCTCAGTCGGTTAACCGTCTGCCTTTGGCTCAGGTCATGATCCCAGGATCCTGGGATCGAGTCCTGCATTGGGCTCCCTGCTCAGCAGTGGGGCCTGCTTCTCCCTCTCCCTCTGCTCCTCCTGTTTGTGCTCCCTCTCTTTCTGACAAATAAATAAAAATCTTAAAAAAAAATAAAATTATAACATTGAAAAGATAATGCAAAAGAACCCTTCTAGATGACTTTTGTCAAGAATCTTTAGAATTAGGTTTATCACTTACTATAAAGTATTTGAGTAAAAATCTTTTGAACTCAGATGGTCACAGTTAGGAACTGAACATAATCAATTACAAACTTGCCAATCTGGAAGGAAATTTGGGGCTTCCTCAGCCCCTCACTTACTAGATCCTTACTGGCCTTCTCATCAGTGGCATCACCCTAAATCATGAGACTTCCACAGTGTAAAGTGGTGGTTGGGTCTTACCAAGTCCAAGAAAAGTGCCTAATTCAGAACATGACCTCACTTCTCTACACTGTCATTTCAATCTTTCTATTTACAGATAAATAGCCTATTGTTTTGTCTCTTTTTCCTCAGTCAACAGTCTATGGGAATCTAAACATGAAATAGTTACAAGACAGCAAAAACAATCAACAAATCTCTTGGAAGAAAGAACAACGGAAAGAGCAAAAATACAGGTAAATATAAGACTTTCCTTTTCCTCTTGAGTTTTCTAAATTATGTTTCAAAGTTGTAGCAAAAAAATTGTAACATTGTCTTATGTGGTTCTCAACATATATAAGGGAATATATAAGGCAATTATATTATAAACCAGGGAGGGCAAAGGGATGTAAAGACAGAAAAGGTTTCTACTTTTCTCTTGAACTGTTAAATGTCAACAATACTAGATTGTGACAAGTCATGCATGTATACAGTTTAGAGCAAATCTACACAGAGAGGCACATAAAAATACTATACATACATCAAAATGGAATTCTAAAAAACTGTTCAAGTATATACAGGAAGGCAGAAAGACAAGACAGACATATTAAAAAGAGGGAACAAGGGGCGCCTGGGTGGCTCAGTTGGTTAAGCGACTGCCTTCGGCTCAGGTCATGATCCTGGAGTTCCGGGATCGAGTCCCGCATCGGGCTCCCTGCTCGGATTGGGGAGTCTGCTTCTCCCTCTGACCCTCCTCCCTCTCATGCTCTCTGTCTCTCATTCTCTGTCTCTCAAATAAATAAATAAAATCTTTAAAAAAAAAAAAAAAAGAGGGAACAAAGAGAAAAGAGTAAAATAGCAGAATTAAGCTCTAACATATCTATCAATAATTACATTAATTGCAAATGTTCTAAACAATTAAAATCAAAGATTGACAGAGTGGATAAAAAACATAAGACCCAACTATATGCTACCTATAAGAAATTTCAAACAGAACTCACTTCAAATATAGTTAGGTTGAAAACAAAAGGATGGAAAATGATATACCATGTAAATATTAATTAAAAAAATTAATCTATTATTGACAGATGACAGTGACAGATAATCTACCTCAAAGACTGTATGACCCACAAAGTAAAAAATATTTACTATCTGTTCCAGCAAATAAAAAGCTATGCTTATTCCCACACAATTTATCTCAGCCCGTACAATGTATAGAGTATAATGTCCAGCATTCAACCAAAATGTATGAGACAAACAAGTAAAAACAACCCACACCCAAGAGACAAAGTAATCTGCAGTATCAGATTGATACAAAGATAGTAAAAATATCAAACAAATTTAAATGAACTATGATTTACGAAATCTACTATGAATCTACATATGTTTGGACTGATGGGGAATTTCAGTGGAGTTGAAAACTATATAAGAAAGTGATAAATGTAAATGCCAGAATTTAAAAGATACATGGTATTAGCAGTAAAGAATACCTAGAGGGGTTCAACAGTGGACTTAACAGAGTCTTGAGGACATAATGGCTGAGCATTAAAATAATGAAAGAATCGAACAATGGTCCAAGAAGCTCAGAGAATATCCTCCAAACCCACCCAAAACAAAACAAAATAAAAACACACATGTAGACACATCATCTTAAACCTTGAAAACCAAAGACAAAGAGAAAATCTTGAAGGCAGCCAGAGAGGGGAAAACCCAGGAAACACGGAGACACAAAGATCAGAATTATGGTGGACGGCTCATGAGAAACTGTGCAAGCCGATCTAAAGGGAGTAGCGCCATTACAGTGCTGAAAAGGGGTCAAGCCACCCCTTGGTCACATCTGACAGAAAAAAAAAAAAATTAAAAATAAAGTTGCTCAAAGATACCTTAAAGCGGAAACCCTGAGCCCCACTTTTTGAGCCAACTCCTCCTGGAACCACATTTCTAATTTGGCTGGTACTTTGGACAGAGCAATGAAGCGTCCAGGCTCTGGCTCTCAGTAAAGCGGGCCCCTACAGCTTTCCCTCCTCTGTGGAGAGGGCAGTATGCATTAAGCTGAAAAGAAAAGCTACTTTCCAAATGTGAGGAAGGGGTTAGACTGCTGCTTCAGAACTGTGGAATTATTTGGAATGTTTTACAAATGGTCGCTACATCAACAACAACAAAGATAATTATAAAATGTGTACATTACAACATGCTTTTAAAGACACTTTGCTTTGTGCTCACATTCCCTTAGACACTGTTCCCAAAGGTGCTCAGCCGCAAGCCCAACTGGAATCTCTAGGGAGAGGCAGAGACAGTTTGGCAAAAAAGACACAGGGGTTGGGTTAGGAGAGGCGGCAAAAGGAGAAAGCAGCCTTCCAGTTAAGAGATCAGCCCTCGGTTTCAAGGCCGCTTTGGGCAGGCTGGAGTGGAGTCGGGGGGTCACGGGAGGAGCAGCGGCAGGGCCGGACTGGGGTGCTTGAGATCTCATTCAGGTCAAGCAGAGTCTGGTCCAGCATCCTTTGTGTACAGAGGGGCTCCTCTTTGGTGCATTTCAGCTTATCTTCCAAATCATCAATTGTCTTCTCCAGCTTGGCTACCAATCTCTCAGCAAACTCAGCACAGGTCTCTGCCTCCTTGAGTTTATCCACGAGAATCTTTATCTCTTCCTCATCTTTGTCTTCCTTCTCAGAGTGCTTTTCTTCGGCAGCCCTCAGACACTTCAGGTTCTGGCCCATCTGTCTGATCTGCTCATCCATGTCCCAGCAACGGGACTCTGCCAGCTCAGCTCGTTCCTCTGGGCATTCTGAGTCCTCCTCAATAATCATCAACTTCTGAGCCACCTCTTCATATTTCCGATCTGCCTCTTCTGCAATGTGCTTGGCCTCATTAAGTTGGATTTCCTGGAGTTCCATCTATACTTCATCGTTTAAGGCTTGGTTCTCAATAACCTCCATACCTCTCTCACACTCACCAGCGGCTTTCTCTGCTTCCTCCAGCTTTTGCAGGTGCTCCTGGGCACAGTCCGGCTGGATCCTACGGTTCAAGGAGGCCACCTCGGGCTCAGCCTGCTTCCGGGCCCGCCTTTCCCCCTCACCTTCTTGCTGCAGGTGCTCGGCCCTCTCCTCTGCGTCATCTTGCGGCTCCTCCTCCTCCTCTTGCTGCCACAGAACTTGGATCCTGCACTTCGCCGCCTCGATGGTGGTGATCCCGGTCACAGTGCCCACCCAGCCCCTGCTCGCGCTTGGCTTCCTGCCTCCTCCACTGGGCGCTGCAGCCGCTTCTCCGACATTTTTATTTTTAATCATTCTGAAAGAAAACTGATTTCAAAAGCAAAATAGTAGCAATGTATTATTGGTTTACGGCATATGTAAAATGTATTCTCCTACTGACGGGCATCCAATTTATTTGTTTCCTCGTTTCTATGAGCAAGGATGCAATAAGCATGTTGGTAGATCTGTCCTTCTATTTCTCTGGGATAGATTCCAGGAGAGGCATTGGTGAAAATACTGGATTTGTATTGTTAATAGATGTTGCCAGATCGTTGCCTAAAGAGCAATGACATCACATGTATACTGACAATGTAGGAAGGCTCTTGCCCTCATTCTCACCCAAATGTATAGTTATTCTGTTTAACACTCACTGTCTGAGAGATTCATCACTTCTGAATGGTTATGTCAAAATTTCTGAAAATGAGAAAGGATTTATCAATTCCTCCAAGTGATTCATATATTCAGAGTAACTCTAGGTTTCACAATTGCCATCTTTTAAAATATATTTTTTATCATGATCTACTGTTTCTCTTAATCCATGTTGTTTATTCAAGTGTATGTTTTACTGATATTGCTATACCATCTTCATTTTTTTTTTTTTTTAGCATTTGCCAGGTATATCTATAATCTTCAAGCCTTTAATTTTCAAACTTTCTGTGTTACTGAAAACATATATAGTTCAAAGCAACTATATGGCTAGGTTTTATAATTTGTAGCTCTAACCTGATAGAATTTTAAGTGAGTTTGATTCACTTACATTTGTTATTGCTGATACATTTCCATTTATTCCTACCATCATGTTTTGTGACTTTTAAATCAGTTACCTATTGCTGTGTAACAAACTACTCCAAAGCTTAGCAGCTTAGAACAGCAATAACCATTTGTCCTGCTAATAATTTGGGCCAGGCTTGATGGGGCCAGCAGGTCTCTGCTCCGCATGGCTTCACATGGAGATGCTCAACTGGAGGAGAGAGGATCTCCCGGTATGATAGCTCGCATGGCTGGCAAGTTGGTGCTGGCTTGTGAGGAAAAGGGTGGGGGGCACAGCTAGGGTGTGGGGACCAGGGTCTTTGATTCTTCTGCACATGGTCTCTTCTGGACGGCAAGAACTTCTTCACAGCATGAAGGTTCCAACAGATCTAATTATCTATTATCAAATTTTGGTTAATTTTAATTCGCAAGGAAAACTATCCCAATAATTATAATTTGCAAGTTATTTGAATC